TGTGTAGCAATAGATGTTTATGATCGGCCCCCATTTCTTCACATAATCTGGCAAAAAGTCTTGAATTTAGTGCATTTGCTTTCACATAATTTACTATTTTGACTACTTCGCTGAGCACATTATTCAGTTCATCTGACATTTTCTTCACTGCTAAACTTTCTCGGTGAATGCAACAATGTGTTGCTTTACACTCCGGTGCTATTGCTTTAATTTTAGTTACAACACCAGAATAATGTCCAGTCATTGCTGCAGCACCATCTGAACAGACACCAACACAATATTTGAAATCTATTCCTTTACCAATGATATATTCACTGACAGTTTTGAATACTTCAGAACTTGTTGTATTTGTTGGGAGTGATGCTGAAAAGAAAAATTCCTCCTTTAAATCTCCTTCGTATTCAAAACAAACATAAACTAACAAAATAGCCATATTGGCCACATCTGTGCTTTCATCCAGCTGCAAAGAATAATACTTTGCAAGTTTCATTTGTTCAACTAGCTGCTCTTCAATGTCTTCTGCCATATCGCTAATGCGTCGACCAATAGTACTGTTTGAAAGTGGCACCTGGTCTATTTTTTTTGAAGCCTGCTCACCCAGCATCTCAAAACAGACATCTTTGATGCAATCTTTTATTAACGTTTCACCAACTGTGAATGCCTTTTTCGCTTTGGCAATTCGCAGAGCTACTTTATATGAAGCTCGTAGCGCACACGTGTTTATATGGGAAATACGAAACATTTGTTTTTGGCGACTCTTCAGATCAATGCGTTTTCTCTCAAAATATTCTTTTGGTTTTGTGCAAATGTCTTTGTGTTTGGTATTTAAATGTCTTTTTAGTTTTGATGGCTTCATTGCTTCGTTCAACAAAACCTCGCTGCAAATAACGCACTGCGGTTTCAACTCTGTTCCATCGTCCATTGGCATGAAGCCAAATTGAATGTATGATTCATCGTACTTTCGAATGAAGCTAGTTCTAATACGTTTTGTTGCACACGTTTCAATACCAATTGCCTTTACGATGCCATTTTCATTGTCTGAAACTGAAGAATCGTCACTACTTTCATATATCAAATTCTCTTCCTGACGTTTCCTTTTCAAAAATTTGTCTATCGGGCCTTGTTTCGCCATGCCTAAAGTAGTTATTTTTGAATAAAATAAACTTTTACTTTCAAGAAAACAAATTAGCGGTCTTGATAACATCAAAATAAAATGAAAATATTAAAAAAAATCTGAACCAACCTGGCAACAGTTCTAGCAACTTTATATATTAATTTGAATAAAATTTAATAAATTGCAAAATGAGTTATTCAATTTATATATAAATTTCAAAATTACAAATATATTTTAGTTTAGCAATAACGTTGTTAACTCCTAGTTTTACCGGGTTTTTATCAATTTTACTCTGAACATGTGCAAATAGCTGATAAAGAAAGATTGAATATTTAAGCTGGATCCGATAGTTAATTGGTCACGCGTCCTTTCGCGTTATCACATTGAATATTAATTATAGTCATACATATGCATTCGTGAACTTGCTTACCTTTAAACTCATCTACTAGTAATAACAATGACTTTCGCAATTGCGTTGCTGTCCAAGCTATGAATTTTCTGATTAATTTTCAAAATTTTTGGAACCTCGCCGCGGACCGGCAGCTATTGGTCCGCGGACCACCACTTTGAGAAGCACTGGACTAGAGAAAGAAAAGTTATTAATAATACGAGGTAGTTCAGAAGTATAGAGTATAAATAGAAGAGGGCCAAGGATAGAACCCTGAGGTACCCCGAAAATAAGAGTAGATGAGTTAGAAGTAGAATTATCGAGAACAACAGAAGAAAAACGATTACAGAGATAAGAAGAAAACCAAGATAGACAAGAATCAGTAATATTAAAAAGAAATATCATTTCAAAGACACTAATGTTCAATTAACATTTTGAACAATTTCTGACATTCTACAATTTATTGATTTATATAGTTCTAAAAACACGATATAATTGAAACTTACGATTCATATTATCGGTTGTTGGCGTTGGTTGAATCTCTAGAGGGTAACAATACGTTAGCAACTATCAGGACAGTTTCCGAGATGATTCGGTCAACAAAACATCAAGACGGAGATCATGTCATGGGATTTAAAATGCTGTGTCGAAAATGCTCTGGGACTTTCAAATTTTTGCGGACTAAAAATTGCTTTTAGGAAGCTAAATAGAGATATGAAAAACCAATCTGCTAATTGGATTGCGAGATAAGTTTTAGATGGGAGTTTGAGGCGAAATTGGGAATAGCGTAGAATGATTTTCAAACATCATGTCCGTGCTGGGATGAAGGCAAACAGATGCATGGTTGCAAATCATCGGATGTTGGTTATTAATTATAACTAAGTTACTCTTAACGCTCTTGCTACAATGTTATCTAAATTAATAATTTAAATGAATTAATCAAATCAAATTTTATTCAATCAATCCAAATTAATAATAATTAGGTAATGATTAGGAGTCCAAAGCTAAAAGAAAAAATTCTTGTGTCGCAGGCCACCGTTCACAAATTGTTCATTCTAACACGATTTTTAAGTAAATTTATAATTCATGACAAAATTAACATAATGCACAATTTACTGTAAATTTACTGTTACTATTAAAAAATTTCCTGTAAATTCTAAAAAAACTAAAAAGACGAACTTTGAGTTTGTTAATGCCAATAATTCAGTAGAATGACTTGGGTATGTATGTATATATATTTATAGATATGCAGATTAAGAACTGTGAGAAATGCAATTATTGATGAAAATCACAGCATATTACGCGTTTGTTAGCTTCCTGTTTAATTTTTCTAATATTAGATCGTAAATCATTGCCAAGATTCTTAAATTCAAAACCAAAATTTTTATTTTAAGAATGATAGAACAAAAGAAGCTTTTTTCGGTTTTCCTATAGCATATTCGGTGTTCCAATTGATACGTTGTGTATGTGTTCTAAAAGTATTGATTCAGCTAATCGTAAATTAGAATAATAATCATTATAAATGGTTATTGTAATGTAAGATTTCAACATTGTGGTCCAGGATTAGTCTAGTAATTTTAGTTTTGTGTTTCATTTAATGTGATTTTTTATAGCTCCAGTTTGTACGTGAATCGTGAGCCTTCTCGATAGCTTGGTCGTCGTCATACCAATATATTCAGAATTATGGTACCCACAGTCACCGATTTTACATTACATACAAGATGGCTATGATCCATAATCGATTCTGGCTTACTAGTGCAGTTGTTTTTCATCACGACATATGATGGTTTGTGTCTAATATATTGATATTTACATGTTAAATTGCTTAGGTATGAGGAACTAAAATTTTTAGCGTATATATATCTTGATTACCAAACTATCATCTAAAGAATACAAACAACATACAAAAGGCACTCGACAATAACATGGAGGTATACATAACAATAATATGCAAAAATAACCAGTGTAATATAAAATTGTTTAAAGATTTTAATTTCTTATAGTGGAAGCCCTGAATACTTAAGAAAAAGAATCGAGCAAACAAAAACAATCTGCAGCTTACCTTCTTAATTAATTAAGGCGCCACAAAAATAACAACAATTATTAACAAGTACTTCGTTTCATAATTAAAATTGTTTGAAATAAATTGATGTCATATACAAAACCTATCATAAATTTATAAATAGGCCTGATCAGAGTAATTTGAACTTTGGTTGACAATTACAAAGACTTCTTTCTTGTGCCTTATCCTTTCATGACATTGGCGATCATCGACCTCCACAAAACCCGATCTGTGGTGGTATTCAAAAAGTGACACAAAGACTTTACAAATGTTATTCGTTGGTGACCGCGATCTTGTTTCTCTGCAATCTTTCCAGTTGTTGTTACATTTTTCATTTTTTCCTTCTGCATGATGTGACAAAAAAACTTTAACTGACCCCGTCGGATTATTTGTAGTAGTTTTATCTTTTCATAACCGGACTGTTTTAATACATCCATATTTGAAGTATTACAAAGGCATTGAAATGAAATGCTAAGATGTGATCTGCCAAAGCTGTACGAATGTACTCCGGAATGGAAAATGATGTTCAATAATAACAAATTTTTATATACATAAATACATAAACCACACACAGATATATAGATATAAACACATTTTGGTCGATAAAGACATACTGTTACTCTGCCGGATAATGTAAATAGTGTGTCGATTTGAGTTCACAAGTACGTGAGTATTTATAAGGGTGCAGTTGCGGATCTAGACAACTTTTACGGGGGAAGGGACAAGATCTTAAAAAAATTTAACGACCGGGGGGTTCCAATAATTTAACAAATTTGCCGACCTGCTGCTGCAGGCACGGTTGGCCAGTGCGAGTACGTAAAGTGCACCCTCTCTCACCCCAACCAAAAGTGCGTGTTACTGTGAACACCTAACTCGTTCTAGGATAGACGCGTTTCGTTCCTCATGGGAAGAGTCAGTATCCCGAGTTTAAACGCCAACTTACTGCATTTACTATCTCAGTAGACAGTATGGAAAACTGAATTGTTTTTTAGGTAACTCACAGATAGAGAAAGTGGTCGATATAGACTTAACGGGGGGCCAAAATTTTGAAAATATTTGTCGACAGGGTAAAGTCTCAAAAAAGTTGACGACCAAAGGGGATTTTCAAAAAAGTCGATGACTGGGAGAGGAGAATTTTTGACTGGGGGGATAACTTAAAAAAGTTGATGACCCGAGGAAATTTCCACAAAAAATTGATGAGCGGGGAAGGAGGAAATTTCACAAATTTGTTTACAAAAATGTTTTTCTTTTGCGGGGGCCAACTTTTTTTAATCTTAATTTTCCTTTTTTAATTACTACCCTTTTCCAATAAAACAACTTTTTACACAAATAACGCTCACAACAGAGCCGCCCATGTCCCTAAACCTATCACTGGATGGAAACGCAATGTTACTGTTCTGAATAAGTGTAATAGTGTGTCGATTTGAAATCACGTGAGTATTATAAAAGTGAAAATTTGCCGACCTGCTATTATTGCCTGTTTTCACTCGAGCTACTGATAAGTCCTATTAGGGACGAAACGCGTCTAGCCTAGAACGAGTTAGGTTTTCACAGTAATGATATTTTTGTCTGGACGAAAGAGGGTGTACTCGCACTCGTCAACCATCTCTGCAAATTCTCATCCCTACACATATACTCACGTATTTGTGGATTCAAGTGGACAAACTATTTCCTTTATTCGCGGAGTAAAAATACGTCTCTATCGACCAAAATGTGTTTTTGTGAATTACTTATAAAATGCCTTAGTTTAAAATACTGTTTACTGAGATGGTAAATGCACTAATTTTGTGTTTTAACTCGTGCTATTGATAAATCCCATAAGGAACAAAACGCTTCTAGGCTAGGACGAGTTAGGTATTCACAGTTTAGTCAGGGTAAGAGAGGGTATACTTTACGTACTCGTGCTGGCCAACCGTACCTGCAATAGCAGGTCGGCAAATTCTCACTCCACACGCACACATACACCTACCATATATATATATATATATATATATATATATATAATTATTATTATCATTATTATATTTAATAAGCTATTATTAAAGCTGTTATTATTATATTATATTTTATATATATATATATATATATATATATAATTATTATTATCATTATTATATTTAATAAGCTTTTATTAAAAAGCAAAATTCTCAAGAGCGAACAGATAGCGTCGAGTATTTTTCTATTCGGGGTGAACAGAAATTGCATGTGTGACAGTTTGATGACTTGAGACTGTTCCAGATCATCGGACCGATGACGCAAAATTTTCTCATGCCGATAACAAGCCTTGTAGTGACAACTGGCAACATACCGCTGTCGATTGAACGAAATTCATGGGTGTGTGTGTATGTGTGGGTGAGTGAGAGTTTAAAGTGCATTTAATTCTTTAATCAAATATTCAGAAGCTTAACCATTGATGCTTTTGAACATAAGAATAGTTATTTTGAAGAAAATTCTTGATAAGATTCTTAACCAATGAAGACAATCGAGTATGAAATTAACATGGTCAAATTTTTAACCATTTACAGTTAATTTTGCTGCTTGGTTTTGTACTGATAGATAATCAATAAACTAGATAGTGAATTATTAGCTCACCCAGTGATGAACAACGTAGATATTTTTAGATTAATTTAGATGAATATATATATATATATATATATATATATATATATATATATATATATATATATATATATATATATATATATATATATATATATATATATATATATATATATATATATATATATATATGTATATATGTTATTGTTGCTGTTGTTCATATTTTAAAATATACTATTGTATGCAGAGAGCGAACTACGTAAGCAATATTAATATTGCAAGTTGATAAATTAATCGCTTGACCTTGTGACAAGACTGACTTTATGCCATTCATGCTTTGACCCCATAATATTCTCATGGGTAATTTCTTCATATTATTTCTGTCATCAAACACAATGTACATACACAGTTTCAAGCCTGTTATTTGAGGCGTATCAAAGTTGGATCTGAATTTTGAGTTCGTTTGAGATTCATGACATGACCTAAGATTTTCATTTGACGTTTCCTGCTGACCTCATTTGTGACACTAGTTATATGAGAGTTTTAAATATTTAACCACTGCTCTAGAGTGCAAGAGCAAGTAATTTTTTAAACATCAGCTTTGGTTTTGTCATTTTTGGCTAGACTAAAATCGAAATATAAAAAAAATGTACAATTTGTTTTATTTTCAACATCGAAACATGAAAAATTATACATATTTATTACGCTATTTGCGAATATTTAAAAAATCATTCCTTAAATGTCACATTTAAATTATTTGAATTAAAAATTGATGTCCCTAATTTATGTTTCTTGATGTGACGCTCCAGATTTGTTTGTTGACCGAAACATCTTTCACACTGCAAGCAACGGAAAGGTTTCTCTTTGTTGTGAATATTTCTGACGTGTCGTTGCAGGTTGGAAGAAATGCTGAAGGATCGCTCGCAGAATTTGCATTTGTACGGTTGTTCGCCTGTGTGTGTTCGCAAGTGGCGAGTCAGATTCGCCGATCTTGGAAAGTTTTTTCCACAATACTTACAACTGTATTTATCCTTAGCTCTGTTTGAATAATGGCAATTAACTTTTGTACTTTCATTGAAATTCTCGGGAGAATAAAATTTCAAATTTTCATTCGAATTCACGGAAGCATAATCACTGCGATATTCTTTTTTAAACCTGGATGCAAATTGACCACTTTTGTCGCTGCTCGAGTAGTTAGATCTAAAAATGTTGAGAAACGATGTTTCACACGTGATTTTATCTGAAAATAATGAGCGAGACTGGCGAGTTTCATTGTTGTTATAAGAGACACTTGATAAATTTCGACCGTGTTTCTTCCTTGATTCGTCATCGTCAGAGAAGTTATCTAAAATGTTTTGAATTTTCAAAGCCGATGAACTGAACAATGTTTTTGAGCATTGATTGCTGTAAAAAAGATCATTATTTTTATAACTTAAATCCAATGGTTGGTGATCAGTGTATTTAACAACATCGTTATGATCTAAAGTGCTTTTGACGAATATGGAGTTTGTTACTTCTTTGTTTGATACATTTGAAGTCTCTTTTGAGAACATTTTAATTTTATGCATGAGACTTCCGAAAGAATCGTTAACGTCAGTGTATTCGCATGTTAAGTCTGAAAAATATTTATCGCGTAGAATGTGATCGATGGAATGTTTCAGTTTGATGCCTCGTTTCGACTCAATTTCTTGATGCACTTGGTTGATGCTTTGAATTCTTATCAAAGAACTTTCAGTGCAGATATCTGACATTAATGATCTGACGTTAAACGACTTCTTCACGATGGGGTGTTTTACTTTTTGCAGCAGCGGGTTGAAAGCAGCCAACGAGTTTTGTTGGTCGCCTGGTGAAATCGAAATGAAATTCGCTAACTTCGGAATAATATCATTTAAGCATATGAAGGGTTCATATTTATTATTTAAAACGCTGTTTCTGTTGTTGCCGCCATTTATAATTAATTTTTCACAAAATTTTTTGTGTTTGTTGAAGGTGGTGGTGGAAGTGAAGTACTGGCCACATTCGACACATTTCAGGTGCTGGCGGCAGTTGGCGTGCATTCTTTTATGGCGACACAAATTTGAGAATTGTGTGTAGGCTTTGAAGCAGACTTCACATTTAAATGGCTTGACGCTGCTGTGTATGTGTTGATGTTGTTTCAATCCGCTGGATGTCGTAAATGATTTTCCGCACTCGAAGCAGCAGTGCAGTTTGCTGAATGTTAAACTTTCTGCTGCATACGTCGATTTCAACGTTATGCCGTTGTCTTCAAACTGGAAAATTAATAATATAATTTAATAATAACTTTACAAATTAATACTGGCAACTCCAAACATTCCTCGTGCAAAGTAAAATGAAACGAACTTGTTCGGGGGAATATTTGGAACAAGAGGATAACCATCCGCAAATTTCTTGAATCATATTACGCACATCAGACCATCAAAGACTGCTCAATGAATGTTCCACACATGATACACTGAGCTGTGTTGTTGTTATAAACTGAACGTTCTTCAACCTCATTGGTCATTCGGCAGAGGCTGTCGACCAATCACGATCATTCACAAGATTACTGTCCAATGACATTTTGAGCATTAATAAAATTGATAATTTTTCGACTTTGAAATTAAAAACAGCCCTCAAAAGATAATAAATTAATGAACAAATTAGAGAACAAATGCTGAATGAGATGAACTAATATATTTGCATGTGAACACGTGCTTGGATGATGTTTGCACACTGAAGAATATACAATAGTGATCATAACTGTAATATGTATAAATAATAAAAATAATAATAATGACAATTATTATTATTTTAATGACAATTATTATTATTTTAATGATAATTATTATTATTATAGTAATAAGCGGATAAATGTATAAGTGAATATGGTAAACAGAAACAGCTGTGAATATTTATGAAACTATTTGTTTTCTTAATAAATAAAAATTTAAAAAATCTATATCAGTAGATAACACAAACTCACACCCCACCCACCAACATGCAAACCTATATATATATATATATATATATATATATATATATATATATACACACATCGTAAAAAAGATAAGACATGAAAAGAACATAGAAAAAAATTTGAAAGAAAACAATGGAATGAATATTTCCCTATTTAAATCAACTTGCACTGATGATGATTCATTCGGAATCGAAATATGGCCTTAATTGCAGCATGAATTCGGAAAATAAGTTTATTTTGAATTTTAATAAACTGAACGTTCTCCAAAAAACTTTAGTGAGAAAAATTGAGAAAACGAACTACAAACATATTAACGCTCGGTAGAATTTATAAAATATTGTTAAAATTATGGTCTATTACCAAAAATATTTAATATATATATATATATATATATATATATTTATTTATTTATTTCTTATATGTATATATATATATATATATATATATATCTTATATATATATCTTATATATATATCTTATATATATATATATATATATATATATATATATATGTGTGTGTGTGTGTGTGTGTGTGTGTGTGTGTGTGTGTGTGTGTGTGTGTGTGTGTGTGTGTGTGTGTGTGTGTGTGTGTGTGTGTGTGTGTGTGATTATGATAAACTTATAAATGCGCTATTAAACATACATATCTCAGAAGCGCAATCAAATAAAATTACCCCACCAATATAGGCGTGAAATGAACAAAATAAAGACAAATCAGTGCAAATTGAAGCATAAAACATAACAGCAATATTGAACCACAGACAACAAAGACATATATATATATATATATATATATATATATATATATATATATATATATATATATATATATATAGAGAGAGAGAGAGAGAGAGAGAGAGAGAGAGATTTTAGTTATATATTTATAATGATATAGCGCATCATTGCGGCAATCGTACCACTTCTAAGCTCTAGTCTGCGACTTTCACGAGCGGATGGATGGAAGGATCTTCGGCGTACTCTTGTTTATTAATATTTTTGTTTTCTTTACACCAGACTGAATGCGTTTTTGTGGCTAGAATACTGTGCATCACTCACTTCCGTTGATTGTAGCAGTCTGTTTAATGCAAATTGTGTAATGAAATTATCCTCATCTTGGTATTTGTTGTGTGGTTGAGACTGCCATTAGTCATGCGAGTTGGCACGAAACAGAAACTGAATAATTTAAAGAATCATTCAAAAATTAATAGTTTTTTGCTAGTAATTGTTAAAACGAAGTTTTCATTTAGGACTGAAACAATGATAATCATTAGTTATTAACGTGATGGCCTACAAAATCTTCTTGAAGAGTTTTACAATTTTGTTCAGCCTGAAATTCATTCAAAACTTCAAAGTCCACTTGGATCTTTCCTCTTTAACTGTTAATTACAATTAATTTTCATGTTTTAATTAACCTCTTTATGTATACAATATATAAGTATATATAACCGAAGAAATACAATAATAATAACGATAAAAATAATATGCATCATGCATACGCACGCATCGTCTTAAATTGATGCATTCACGTTGTTGCATTCTTATTCCTGACGAGTTGTTTCATGTGACCAACGTTGAAATATCATTAAGGAAGGTTCACGTGTGCGCTCTACGGTTGTCATCAACGGAAACGAACACATGAAGTCAATTTCACAATATTAACAATTCTACAGATATAAATTTGAATAAAGTCTTGCCATTAAAACGGTTGGCTGAGCATTTAAATAACAGTTGTCTTTTTAGCATAGGAACTTTCACAACTTCATGGTGTCGGTGGCGATGTTGAGATACGCCGTGACATTATTTCGAATGAGCATGAATGAATGAATGTTATCTTACTTGAGCACGGGACAAGCGGTCGGCCAGCACATTTTATTGAATATAATAAAAAAATTGTGTGTTACGCATCAATTGAACTGTTCAACTGGAGTGAGGACGTGATTTGAATGCAACATTCCGACCTGCTGGAAGGTAGATTAAATTTATTATATTCAATTTTTAAAAGAATATTCGATTTATATGGCGTTGCGTGTCTTTTCATAAGAATAAAATACGTGATTATTGGCTAGATCATCATCCATCAGGAGTGATGCCACGCACTTCCGGCATCAACTTCCGGCATGCATTCTACATTACTCTTCAATTTTTATTGCAGATAGATAGCAGATGTATGTGGATGTATGCAGGCAGATGAATGTTATCCACGGGCGTTCATGTCTTTCTACTGCAATAATTGCTGCAGAGGTATCTAACGCTGAAATTTAATCCAAACTGAGTTGATGCAGTTTATGTAAGTGAATCACGTTTGCCAGTGGTCAACTCAATTTTTAAGAATTACATAGTTCATTTAGCTGTCAAAAATCTGATTGTGGAATGCATGCATGGAGGCAGCACCTCGCATTATTGCTGGAGCATGATAGCACTCAATAAAGATTATTGCTTTGTGCGATCATTCGACGAAATTGTTTGCGCGCTGACGCTACTTTTCTTTGTGCATTGAATGGTATTATGTCAATAATTTGTATTGATAAATATGTTATACGTACAGTGCATGTATTATATTTGATATGTTAACTCACCTCATATATACATATATATATATATGTAAAAGTATATACATATATAAATATATATTATATGACTGTAACCTTCTCGCATTAACACTCTTTCTTCAATCTCTTTCTCTTCTTCTTTCGTGACGTTCATCGCTGCTTTTAATTCTATTTCTTTTTCCACGGACGAATACAATGGAGGAATGTGTTTACTATATGGATACTTTCATCTTCGCAGAATCACAGAACAACAATGCCACGTCCTTTCTATTGCAAATTTCAGAAAATAATTTCCTGTCATGAAATTGAGAGCTGCGCTTCCTTAAATCGTTAATAAATCAATACTGCGCACTGTCGCTGAAGTGTATTAGTGTGTGAAATGGGGACAATAAGCCTCATCATAATCTCAACATTTTGACCGTCGGTCCAAAATTATAATTGAACATCTACAATAATTTACCTGCTATTTAGCATCTATCAAAATAAACATTTTGATTAAAATTATGGTTTGATTAATTTATTAATAAAAAGTTATTTTTAAATTTTTCCGACCAACACAATAAACATTTTGCATCGAAACATTTGCATTGGAACGTTTGTGTTGAAACATTTGTGTTGAAACGTTTGCATTGGTCTTGCGAATGCACGTTCTTTTGCTGAAGTGCACATAAATTATTTTTGCTTCATTCACGTGGAAATCAGTTTTAAATTCAAAATGGTTTATATAAAAATAGATTCGCTTTAATTATTCATTGATAGTTAATTCCATTCATGGATTAATTCAATCTTTGCAAAGTGGTAAAACTAATATGTTTGTTTGAGTGAAAATAGGCAACTGAAAAATACAATCTACATCAACTTTACAGTAACAACAATATGTATAATCCAATGAGATTTAGGCAAGATGGCCGATGATATGCAAGATGGCTGAGTCATGTGCAAAACGTGCCAACCGCATGGATGGACCGCAAAAGAATTGAATGAAGTTCAACGAAAGACATGTCCTTACAAGGTTGAATTATTGGATTGTAAACAAAAATTCTCTATTTAACTATTTAAAACATAAAAAATTGTAACAAGTTAACATTAAATCACAAGCGCCTCCGTACCTGCAAACATGTGCACTGACAGAAGATAGCACATAAAAGAGTTTGCTTGATTGCGGAAAAAGTTACAAATTGAAGAATAGCGTGATAAATGAATAGATGAAATACTTAATCAAAGTTAAACACCAAAAAATCATGAAAAAATTAACGAATTAAATAAAAATCGAAATTCACTTTTTAAATTGTAGTGCACCGAAACGGCGCCAACCAGGCTATTTTTACATATTTGTGAAACATTTGTTTTTCTACGCATACGAAGATGATTTTGCTGCTTAAATTCAGAGATGCACTTTCTTCCACCGTGGTGACGCTGGGAACATATAGCTAATTTTCTCTCGCGATTTTGCTTTCCGTCAATGAATCATCACCATTGGGAGCCTTGCTCAGCTTGCCAGAAAGCCGTAAGATTCAATTGGCAGATTTTTTCATGCCGACTATTTTTTCAAACTTGGAAAAGTTGATATTGATGATTTCTTTTCTGTATGACATTTATTATTTTGTCATTGAAACGTTTTTTTGAGCGGCTAACTGTCCAATGTAGATAAAAGATATGTATGAAAAAGTTA